ATCTACAAAAAATATTATATTAATAAATCGATTTTATTTATGTTTCAAGTTTTAAAAGACGCTCTTGAAATCTATTCTATAATTGGTTTTTCTTTCTACCTATCCAATTGTATGGAATAATATATTCCTGATATTTATTATTAATAAAATGGCTAACCAAATTAGAGTTACATCTCCTATACATTGCAATTTTCTCAGCATTCCACAGATTGAACTGATCTCGAGTTTGAGGATTTTTTACTTTACGAGAAGTTAGGCCTAGAAATTTCTCATCATCTGGAATATTATTATTTGGTAAACTCAACCAGGCAAGTCGTGCATTTGATGGCTTCCTTTCTTTGAATCGTCTCCAAGCATTTTGAATAATTTGTGCATGACCATCTTAAGATTTAGATTTATTACATTCATGATCCCAATGATATTTCATCAAATCTGCTGGTTCAATCTTTTCAATATATCTATAGAGAGTAGAAGCATATATTTTCTTTGGTTTTACATTATCAATATGAATAAGCTTTATACAATCTAGACATATTCCCACATTGGCCTTATGGATTCTAGATCTGTAGTAGTCATGATTGACTAGCTTAGAATTTCCGAATCCATCAAATAAACTATATATGTGATATATGCTTCTTTTCTTTTCAGAGACCAGCTCTTGTAAAGGAACTCTGACCCGAATAGCCTATTATTGTGGAGTTTTGTTGGGATGAATAACTGATAAAGTATTATATCGACTTTCAGTCTCAAAGAGTTCTTCAAAGAATCATTGATAATCATTAATGTCACAATATTTGTAGATATATGACTCTACATATTTCATATCAAATCCAGGACGATTGTTAATGAGCTTCACCGATTTAGCTTTTTTATCAATAATAGTAGAGATAACAAGACCTGACATATTTAACAATTTAATAGACTTATTAGTACATTTGGTGATTATATGACTCTTATAGACCTAACAGATTTTATTAACTATATACTAATGAATATCGCAATTCATTTTTGTGTTGTCGGGAAATATACATGTTGGACTCTTTGTAATATATATAAAAATAGCTGAAATCATTATCATTCAAGTTTACCCCACAAATATGCAATCGGGCCTGTGCACTCAATTGAGTTCATTACTATATTAAGAAGAATGTTAATCATATGCTAAATTATAATTTAATATTTATTGTTTCTTGTATTTCGCTGACAAGCCTCGCTTTGTAGGTTCTAGATCTTTAAGCAGTTTGAGACAAATATAGTATTATAAATACTAGATATCTCTAGATCCAAACTTGAAAATTTAACACTCACCAAGGTTAGCTCGTCTCGAGTTTTTTAATTTTGGTAGGGATTTAGAACCAGACTTGGAAGAATATCTATTTTTTTGCAGTAATCTTACCTTCTTTTTATCACTATTTATGTTTATACCCATTTCGTTATCTGGATCTGAATCGCAAAATAGGGAGCCAAATTTTCTATTTTGTTTAATCATAGTGCCATGTATAAAAAATACGACACTATGACATATACCTGCGAGAACCGGAAGATTCCTGTGAACTAAAATGTTCGATCTAAAAGCAATAGCTTGCCCCTGTTTTGCATGTATTATTAGTTTTAACTCAGGAAATACTAATTGTCCACCTTTAAATGTTCCAAGTGGGCACACAACACAGAGTGAATTGCGGTGGTCTTTTAGATCCCGATGGAACTAGCAAATAGCATTGAAATTAATTGCTATAGTAGGAAAGCCTCTAAACGATTTAGGGACGTTTGGTCCAAGATCAAGTTTTCTCATTTTTATATACAAGGCCGGATATGTTTCCTTAATATAACCATTAACAGCATCAGATAATGGTTGAAGGCCTTGTATTAATCCTTGAACACATTTTAAATGACCCCGGTTGTGAGATGAGGCAGTATTTGATGTTGTATAAGGTTCATTGTTATTGCCCATAAAAGCACCAAAATGCTCGACCAATTCTTTCGAAAATTCTTTGGACTGGTGAGACAGATTATCAAGCATGTGAACATAGTATTGTTCCACTGCTATCTTTGCACTTTTGGTGACCCTGGAACTCTGAAAAGTGTATAAATCCACCATTGTTTCCCCAAGAGCATTCTTAAAACATTGTGGGTCGAATATATGGTGATACCCTTTTATATTGACATCTTCCTCGGACATCTTATCAGTTAATACACTAGCAATAATTTGCTTGTCTTTTAAATTTTGACAAAGTGCCTCAGATATTGTTGTTTGCTTTAGCGAAACTTTTCTTGCTTTTACATGTTGCTGATGTGCATGCTTTATCTTAGACCAGAGGCACTGACAATGGTTACGAATCTGCTTTACAATGGAAGGACTGATTGCAAAAAATGCCCACAAAGCGAATTGCTTCCATGCTAAATCAGAATTTTTATTTGTGGGTTTGGTGTGATCAAAAATTTCTGATTCTAGTAAATCAATAAATTCAGCAGGTATTTGAAAGGTAGTTAAAATGGGATGAATAATTGTGTGGTTTGGGGTGGTAGTGATCTTTCTGAATTGTATAATTCGCTCCAAATATTTTTTAGGTCAAATTTGGAAAGAGCGTCATATTTAAGGGAAAAGTTGTTTTGCTTTACAGCATCTAATGGAAGCAATTCTCGGTCCAGTAGCGTCTTAATAACTTCTCGTTGCCGTCTTCTTTCTGCAAATTTTTCGAAAAAAATAATCTTTGGATCCATTAAAAAAATGGATTGCAAATCATTCTTTGATTTAAAATCGCTCGCCATGAAATCTTCGGATTTCCAGTAAGATAGAATATATTCATGTGATTTGCTCTTAGATAGACGGGTCTCGCTTTGAGTCTTGTACTAGAAAATATATATTCAAAAAACCGGTAAATTGATATACAAAAAATACTTTATGTTGAATAGTAATAAAATCTTCTCAGTGGATACATTCGAATCACTCTCAGTGGTGTGGTTTGGGGGGTTTAAAACCCATGAAGTCTGCGTTACCTTCCTCCTCACACACGCCCCACATCAAGGATAACGATCACGCCCGAGATGAAAAAATAACTTTATATAGGGAGGGAATACTCAGATCCTAGGCCTGCCTCGAAAGGTGAAAAGTACCCCTAAGAAGACTATACTATAAAACTAAATGTAATAAAAGATATTTAACCTACTTTTAAAGAATTGTAAAATATATTTGTGCTTTCTTCGATATGATTAGCATTAGAATTAGAAATACCCTCTCCGACGATTGAGCTATCAGATTTTTCAATCTTAGCTTTTTTTATGGTGCATAGTTCTTTCTTACGCAAATTTCTCTTGGAGGCCTTCGACATAGTGGGTGTATTTTGTAGCGACATAATGTTGACACAAGTATGTGATTTATAAAAACAAAAATAAAAATTTTTAAGATGTTCTCTTGAAAACTAACAAATTCGGAACAGAACTTTGTAGTGAGGATAACCCTTTTATTATAAATCACGACTTATTCTTATTTAGTACATAACAATCTAATACGAAGCAATATACAATATAAATGACTCGGCATTGCAATAATCCAACACGAGTCAACTAACAATTTTTATTTGGCGTCATAATAATTACTAACAAACAAACAATTGCATGTTTATTAAATTCGGCACCACAATTATTAAACACGGTAAATCAATCAACAATTGCACATTTTCTATATTTGGGATTAGATTGTTAGCAGATATTTTGGTTATACAGGGTATGGTAATAATTTTACATGCTATATATCCCCCAAGCCTGATTTACAAATTTAGAATAAGCACTATGCACTTTTTTATTTATGCTATTATAACAAACCATGTTGATCAAACATCTAGCATCACATTTTTTTACCATCAAAAATAATCTTACAGCCGTTGGTGATATTGATCCATGCTAGAAAAAATAAGTACATATTATTTAACAGTCCCGCGGGTCTGCTTTTATTTTGGCCTAGGCCGAAGCTAAAATAGCAATAAAAACTTGACCGGCTTTAATAATCAATGGCCTGCATTAAACTTTATACGGTGTTACCTCTTCTGAAAGGAGGATGCTTCGCATCTAATTTCTCACGGTCGATTTTTAATAACGAATATCTAGAAAGCCTTTTCTTATTATATATGATATTGCGATAAGAAAAAGCACAAATGGAACTTAAAAGGGCTATAATAGAGAAGAGTACAACTTTCTTTATCAGTAGTTTTATCGAAATTCATATGTTACTAGGACTTGGAATCTCCGCCATTCCCAGATCGTCAACTTTTTTCACTTCGTAGTAGCGATCGTCAAATCTAAGGGGGTTTAATTTCACCTAAAAAATGACGAAAAGGATTCAGTATTTGGAACTTATAGCTGAATGGGGTTGCTTTACGTGGCTGGATCTGGTATTGTATTAGGGTAACGCAATTACTAATCATGTAACTTTTTTTTTTTTGGCAGGTTCTCAGATCTAACGAATGCTAAGTATAAAAATAAGCAATTTTTTGTTCCTTGTTGGGTGGGTTATAATATTTTTTGCTCATATATAATTTTTTTTACTTAATTCACTTGTAATTTATTTTTAACGTATGTATTTGTTTTATACGAAGGGTTTCGACCTACAATTGTTTTCTAGGATGACTACTAGGGCGAAACCTTATTCATTATAATTTTTTATTTTTAGGAACGCAAAATGAGCAGTACTAATAATTCTAACAATCCAACACCGTCTAACCCAGCACGTCCAACCCAGCACCACCTAATTCAACACCGTCTAACCCAGCACCGTCCAACCCGGCACCACCTAACTCAACACCATCTAACCCAGTAACGTCTAATCCAAGGTCGTCTAATCGAAGACCCCAATACAGTAATAGAACTTGTAAGTAAATTTCATATTGTGTAATTAAGTTTGTATTTTTCTGGAACGGGTTTTGAGTATTTCTCTGAAATATAATTTTCTGATTAAATCTTTCATTACATTAAAACCAGACAACGACCCCTTCTATCCTATTTCGAGAGAAGCTATAGAAAGATATAAAAAAAATAATGACTGGGATGTTATAAATCCTGGTCATGCTGATGACTATCTATAATCATGCCCCATATATCATATTTTTTTATTATAAAATATTTTTTTATATATATATTGTCGTTCTGGCAACAATTTTTTATGAAATAAAGAGGGGGTCCCATGGGCTCCTAATTTTTTATTTTTACGCGATTTCTTACAATGTAATTTGCGATGATTAATTAGTGGAGACTATTGAGTTAACTTTATTAATCTCCTGTTATGGGATTCAAGTATCGCGTGTTAATATGCACTAATTATATAATCAGAATTTTTATAAGTTTTTTTCCCACTACTTAAATCATAATAATAACCTCTATCAGATTCACCATATTCATTATATCCACCACATCCATTATATCCATCGTCATCCGATTCATCTGGCATCTCTTCTTCAGAATATTTGTTGTGACTACGGTCACTATCATCATGCGAAAGCGCCTGGTTCGAAGAACTTCTTTGGCCTAGCTCTACCTTATCTGATCGCAAAGCAACCTCTTCATCAAAATACACATCATCATCAAATTCTTCATCAAAATATACATCATCATAGTCGATATTGGTCTCTGCCTTAGCTGAATCTTAGGTATGGGTAAGATTTTTCTGGGACGGGCCGAAATTTGATATCCTACATTATCTGTATCGACATTCTGACAAGAATAATTTATAATTTCTTGAATTTGATCATTAGTAAGCTTTGAAATGGAATTCGCACTATACGATTTAATGTATTTGATTTTATCATGACCTATTTTTTCGAATAATGTATAAATTTTCTCAGCTTTCTGAGTTTTTTTGCACAAAGCATCCCACGATATTTCTAGAAGATGTAAACCCAATTCTTGAGATCTTTTTTTACGGATAATAGAAAGCTGTTTTGTAATGGAATCATAAAGTAAGCTTCTCGCCTTCTTTTCACCAATTTTACCTCTGCTATTTTTAATAATCTCATTGAACTGAACCCTGAAATCCTTTCCATAGATGGACCAACATAAGATTTCTTCTTGGTTAGCTCTATTTGCACCATCCTCAGCATCAAAAGCTTTATCACATAACTGAGCTAGATGTTGCGATGCTTCGTCAATGCTAGATTTTCCGGGACCACCGGTCTCGGAAATTTTGATTGTATGGTTTTGAATTATATTCAATTCTTGTAGAGATGGCTCTGGAGTAAATAATTCTTGGATCAACCCCTGCCCGCCTTTTACACTCAAAAAAGATTTAGTATCCTGAGAAGTTATGATTTTCTCTTGAACTCGAAGTTTCTTCTCTCTAATACTCTGAATTATCTCTTTACTAACCTTTTCTTTATATGTTGAATCTAGGAAATCGTCAATTTCTATATCTTCCAATGATTTAGGCTCTATGAGAGTAGAAGATGTGAGATATTGGTTTTCCGATTCCTGGTATATATCGAAGTTAGATACATCATCAGAATTTGAAGTATTATCAGATATATTAGATGCCGGAGTATCGTTAGAATTTTTCATTTTGGTAGAGATGGTATTAACTGAAGATTGATCAATTCACTTAGCATCGTCATCTGATTTAACAATAAAGTTATTCTTTTCATCAGTTTGCGATTGCTTCTGTTCCAATTTCGCAACCCTAGCTTTAAGTTCAGCATTTTCAGAAGCGGTATCTTTATCATTCTGCTCCAGTTTTATAAATCTAGCTTCGATTTCTGCTTTATCTTGTTTTAATTTTATATTTTCAGCCTTGATATCAGCATTCTCCTTTCTAAGTTTATCAATTTGAAGAATGAACTTGGTATTCAATTCTCTCAACGAATCAATTGTGGATTGAGCGTCTTCCATTGTTTTATACAAGATACGGATATGTTCAAAAGTTCGAGTCTGATAAAATCACATGACTCCGTGAAAAAAATACATGTGCGCGTTCACAATGTTCACGCCGATCACTTTCGCCAAGAAAATTTTTTATTAATACACGCGAAAAATGGGACTAGCCCGTAATACATATTATTTTTGATAAATTCACGAAATACACATGCAAAAGTAAACTGATTATGTATGCATTGAAATCGAGCCACCCGGGCCAGCTTTATTAATACGATAAGAAAAGTAAAAAAAATATATATATATACAATAGATTAAACAAATTCATGGTAAGAGGGAGAAGGTATAAGGTTCATCATGTAACCGATCAAGAACCACATTGATCAAATATTTAGGTAACCGGGCCTTATCGGTCACAATGATAGGATATGTAGGTAGTTGTTCCAATGGTTCCAATAGTTCCGATGGCTCCAGTGGTTCTGCTATTTCTAGCGCCGTATTTATTGCGCCGGGTGTAAAATTACCCATAGTCGGACCCACTACAATGCCGATAGTCCCTTTTGGTTGCTTGGTTCTAGTAAGTACCCCAAGCAACTCATCAATAACTGGGCGACCTGTGAATATACCTAATATTAATAATTGAATTTTTTAACCCAAATATCTGATTTACCTATATCGGTTTTGACCCAATTTTTGCATTGAATTATGAATCGGGTTCTAGCAATTTCACATATGATATCAATGCCTCCGTCACCCGATCTCCTAAATTAAAAAAAATGTGAGTACTTGCGTCATCATCATCAACTAATCAAAGAAGCTGCACAGACGGAATATTCTACGTCGGTGCTTTCGATGTTAGAGTGTATTCTATTCATCATGAATTCCCAGTTGCCTAGGCAAGCTCGGGAACACCGGAAACTAGAAAGAAAGAACGTTCACCGCTAAAAACGGTGGCCACGATGTGCTTTCAATTTCTTACTAGATATTTACACCGATGTGACAGCGTAAACTTCGGATATACAACAACTCGACAAACAACTCAGTGAGAAACTCACCCTCTATGAATTACTTTAGCACCAATACTCCTTAGTGCTTCGACAATATCTACTTCGAATTTCAATCCCCTTACATAGGAAGATTCTACAATTACTACTGCAAGAACAACACGCTCGGATGACAACATTTTTAGAAAAAAATTTTAAATCTTTAAAGACAAACAACCCCATTCATTTCTCACTTACCTTTTATTACGAACCGTCATCACTCCTTTTTCGCTGGGAATATTTCATAATTTCTTTGTCAAGAGAACGTGCTTAAATTACTTGGGTTATTCATTATGAAAAAAAATGTCAAAAAACCATTTTAAGAATATATCAAAAAAACCATTCACTTGAAGTATATTTACATCTGTTTCTAACCGCACACCAAAACCTGCTTTATTTAACCTAGAAATTGAGCACTAACAGTGTTCCAAAACTGGTTAATAAACTTATGATATATGCAGATTTGAATGTATATACAATAGCAATAACGTCTATCCCTTAAACCGTCTGGGTTTAGCGGGCAAATTTGCCCGCTAGAATAATTGGTAAAAAGATAAACCTTAAGTAAAATTTTTTTATTGGAAGACGAATTGAAATTGGCTAGGGTAACTCACGGGAACCCGGATCATGTGATTGTGCAACTGTTACGTCCGGCGGACGATCTACGCGGACGATCTACGGACACGTACCAATTCACGTGACTTTGCACGTACCGAATATCACAAATTTTTCTTAAGTTTTGCCCAAATTTTCTCAACAACTGTTTGATGGAATTTGATGAAATTTTTTTTAAATAAAATTATACGAATTAGCAGAATTCATTTAAAAAAATTATCATCGAATTACATTGAGTAGTTGCCGAGAAATTTTCATTCAAAGTTAGGGAAAATTTCTGCGGTCTTCTAAGAAAATAGCCGCGGCATAAATTTTCTAAACTTTGAACGAAAATTTCTCAACAACTATTCGATAGAATTTAATAAATTTTTTTTTAAATGAAATTTATATAATATAAGAATTTATTTAAAAAAATTTTGATCGAATTTTGACGAGTATTGTCGAGAAAATTTCGTTTAAAGTTTGGGGAATTTCTGCTGCACTTTAACAACCGCGGAAATATTTTTCTAAACTTTGAACGAAAGTTTCTCAACAACTATCTGATAGAATTCGATAAAAATTTTTTTAAATAAATTCTAATATTTTATAAAATTCATTTTAAAAAAATTTTATTGAATTCTATCTGATAATTGTTTGAGAAAATTTCATTCAAGTTTAGAAAATTTATACCACGGCTATTTTCTTAGACCGCAGAAATTTTCTCTAACTTTGAATGAAAATTTCTCAACAACTATCAATGGAATTCGATAATAATTTTTTTAAATGAATTCTGCTAATTCGTATAATTTTATTTAAAAAAATTTTCATCAAATTCCATCAGACAGTTGTTGAGAAAATTTGGGCAAAACTTAAGAAAAATTTGTGATATTTAGTATGTGCAAAGTCATGTGAATTGGTATGTGTCCGTAGATCGTCTGGATTTTGTAGTTTTGTGTTACACAAGTCATGTGATATATCACGTATTACACGATCTAAAAAGGAAGTTCTATTGTATAAATAAAAGTTACAAAAAGGGCAATAATTAAAATTGTACAATTTTAATTAATAATTTGTAATTCTAGTGTAATTTAGCAGGCACTACTAGTTTTAGAGTATTGTAGGGCATGGGTAGCATGGCTGGGGCAGTTTTGATTGCACAAAAAACGTCTCTAGGTGTTTGGAAAAAAAAAAATTTCTAAGCAAAAAGAGAAAAGAAGAGTAAACAGAGTTGTGAGTTGTTTTACTTATAACTTGGTCACTATTGAAGCTACAGATATCTATTTTAGCTTGTTTTGAAGAAAAAAATCCATAGAACAATCTGTTCTTGTTTTTAATAGAGGTTTAGAATTTAGGTTTAGTGTAAATAGCAAAAGAAGCTTATTTGGTCTAAAAGGCTATTACTTGAAAAGTTTTGAAATTATTTTTTTAATAATTAAGTATTATATGTAATTTTGTATATAAAGAAAGTTTTGTTAGAGCAAGAAGTAAGGTTATCTTAATAAATTATTACAAAAATATAACTTTTGTTAGGTACATTTTTTAGAGAAATTTTTGTATGAGTGATTGATGGAAAGAGTTTTTTGTTATCTATAGTAGATATTCTAGATTCCTCTGTTAAGATTTATTAGAAATCTTGGACAAAAACTTATTAGAATAATTATTCAGGCTAAAGAATAAATTAATTGAAAAGAGATTAATTGCTAATTAGCAAATTAAGAAGGCACAATTAAAACAAAAGGAAATATTTGATAAAAAATTAATTAAGAGTAATACTATTTATATTGGGAATAAAGTTTTAATATTTTATGTTGCTCTAGACTAATGATATACTAAAAAATTAAAACTAAAATGAAAAAGTTTATATTATATACATGATGTATCATTTATAAAGATATATAAGCTAAGAACTATATCAGAAAAGATAATTGCTATACCTGTAATTCTTTTCCTCATTAAGAAATACTATGATTAAGAAAACATGCTACACTAAGACCAATTTACTACAAAAGAGTTATAAAAGAAATACACTAATGTATAAACTGAACAAATTAATTATAAAATAGATAATAATTTTCAAAATATTCTTTCTAATCTAATTAATACCCAAGATAGAGAAATAATAATAAATATATCTACTATTAATCCAACACTAAATCTTTTATTGTAAATTTAAATAGCATATCGAAATATGTAACAGATACAACAACAGAGTAAAAGAGAAGAAGCCCTGGCTCATGCCTTTTTCTTGGGCCAACTTACAGAAGAATTGGTACTCACTCTATCACAATGTATAGCATGTAAAAACTTTCTAACTAAGTACTATACTATAGTAGTAGAAAGAACCTACTATATTTTTAAGCATTGGAAAGTAAATCAGATAGCCAGAATGACAACTTTATGATCAAAAATCTAAAATAATCTAACTATCAATTTCTTTTATAATGACTTGTAAAACTTGTGATTTAGTGAGAAAGATTGTTATTTTTGATGATTTGACTCCTAGTTAACTATTACTATATCACAGATCACAGATTACAGAGTTGCTATGCCGAATATACTATATATACCAAATATGCTATATATGCTGGTTGTATCATATGCTCTAGTTATAATATAAGAAACAGTGGAAGTATTAATAATATCAGTAAGATAAGGGTTATTAGAGATATATATACCTGGTAAGATGCTTGTAGTTTAAGAGCTATATGTTATTACTATTGAACCTTTTTAAATTAATCTTTTCAAAATCGATAACTTGTTAAATCTGATAAAAAATTAGTCTACAAAGTCCATTTCTGTTATATAAATCTAATAGTTTATAATATTTTCCAAATCTGATAATCTCTCAAGACTGATACAAAATTGGTTTACTATATATATTAGTTTAGGGAGGCTTAACAGTATTAGTAAAGAGATTATTATATAAACAGATGAGTTTCGCTTCACTTTGTAGGTATGCTTGTTATAGCATTTTATTATTATTGATATATTTTTAATAGATGATTCTCTAGTCACCTGGTTTAAAAATTTTTTTTTATATATATAAATTTTACTATAAGTACTAATACACAGCACCTCTATCTAAAACTTTTTTTTATATTAAGTTAATCATCTTTCTAATTTAAAAGACTTTTATAAAGCTTATTAAACTGTATCTAATAGTGGTTAGAACTAGTGATGTAAATTGGATTGGCGCAGTAGATGCAGTACACATAGATTTAAATTTGTGCATATTAGGGAAGTCAATAGAAAAGGGACAAATTTTTTCTAAGTAAAAGTTTTCTTGACTTTAAGCTTAAATATCTTAGCAATT